TTTAAAATAAAAAATAATAATAAAAAAAATATCACAGAGCTTTAAAAGATGGTTCTGCATGTGACCAATTCCAGAGCTTGTTTCTGACATGTAAAATGGCTAATGATAGGACAGTCATAGCTACATTCCTACCAGCTCAAGAACATGTCCAAGAAGTATGGCTTGGTGAGGGGGTGACATGCAGAGAGCACAGAATAAACACAGAGAAAAATGAGCTTGGCTACATTGCACTAAATATGTGATGTGGACTGAAGGGGAATGCTAAAAAGTTTCACATGTGCACATTAGGACCAAGAATATTTCTTTAACCTCCTCGGCGGTACGATTCTTTCCGATTTTTTTGTGCTGAAAGCAGTACCATTTTTTTTGCATGGAAATATGTAGTTTTTTATTCTAGGCTGTAATTTTTAGGAATAACTCACTGAAATCTGTTCCGAACAAGAGTCTAGTAAAAATTCAGGATATGATAAAACTTGAAACACGAAATCATAAATTATAATTTAATAAATAATCATAGAAAATAATAATATAATAATAATAAATTTAATTCAAAATATAATCAAACCAAAAACACTGACATTTGAAATACAGAGGCAAATTCGCACATCGCTGAGCAAAGTCGCAAAATCGTTTTCAGTGTCCGATGACGAATTTCCCCCAAATCATTATCACTCAATTCTGCAAGTGGTTCTGATTTACTATCGCTGTTCTAAAACCGCTTTTGACGTAAAGGGACGCTTTTTGGACGCCATGGACTTTTCTAAGTTTCCAGGCACAAAGAACAGTCAAAATGCAGGCAGGGCGCAGGACAAAGCAGTAGGGACTAAATTATATGTGAAATGCATTGAAACAGAAATGACAGCAAAAATGACATTTTTTTAAAAAATTCAAATTTCCCGCCGTACGTCCCGACGTCACAGGGACCGGAACACGGAAGCGGAAGCCGGCATCGGCCAGAGAAAATTGGCTGGGACGCTGCAAGGGGACACATCGCGGGAGCGAAGGACAAGGTAAGTGCTGCAGGGACCTCCAGAGCAACGCCGCATGGTAAGCCCGAGTGTAGCTCGGGGTTACCGCTTTTGGTATTGAAATTTTACCCAGAGCTGCACTCGGGAAAACCGCTAAGGAGGTTAAAGTGTAGCATTGTGAAGCATTTAAATCTTGAGAAACCTATAACAGATTATTTATTGCTGTGTGCTGCAGGGGAGATTTCCACTCACTTCCTTAGCTGAAGACAGAAAAAATAATAGGAAATCTCACCAAAATTACCACCTATCAGGACTTGGATCACCTACTGGTGGCACTTTGCTCCCTGCACTTGAAGAAGGGGACATTCCCCGAAAGCTTGTCCTCAAAATTGTATGTTAGTGCAAATAATAAAAAAAGTATCACGTCAGTACTCAATTGTTTCTTTTCCAACTACACCAAATTACTTTACCATCCTGATGAGGGCCTAAGATTGGGCCCTGAATATTGAGTGTAATTATTGCTACACCTGCATGGGGACATATATTCTCCACAAGTGTTGATAAATGGGTTGAGTCTACCATTACCTTTTGGTTATTCACAACCTCAACAGATGTATGCCTTACCATCCAAACATTCCTACACCTGTTCAATTGCTTGGTAACACAAATTGCTAATCAGCCAATCACATGGCAGCAATGCAATGCATTTAGGCATCTAGATGTGGTGAAAATGACTTGCTGAAGTTCAATAACGAGCATCAGAATGGGATAGAAAGGGGATTTACATGATTTTGAATGTGGCATGGTTGGTGCCAGACTACCTGTCAGGGCTCCAGGTATGACCAGAGGCGTGTGGACTGACACAGGGAAGCGCAGGCTTCAGGTATAGTGTAAATAAGACAATTTATTCAAGACTAAACAATACATAAACGTAGTGCAAGACTAAACATAAACACAGTGCAAACAAACCAAACCTCCAACAGATAACAATAAGAACAATACTAAACGTAGTCGAGCAGGCCGGGTCGGTAGCAAACGGGCAGGCAAGGTTCAAGGAGCAGGTGGAAGAGTAGTCAGGAATAGCCGAGGTCAGTACAGGCAGAGTTCATGCAGAGTCAGGATTCAAGCAGCAGGAGGATCAGGATACAGGGGCCAAGGGAAACTATACACCAAGGCACTGACTGCAGGCCTGGCCACTCCTTAAATACACCTCCTGCAATCAGCCTCAGGTGATGATTGCAGGAGTGAGCTTCTGGCTGCTGAGAGCACCCGCTGGCCAGCCCTGGTACTGCAGCCCACACGGCAGGTGAGTCCCACCACCAGTGGTGAGTCCATTCCTGACACTACCAGACTGACCTACTGGGATTTTCACGCACAATCATCTCTAGGGTTTACAGAGAATGGTCAGAAAAAGAGAAAATATCCACGGAGTGGCAGTTGTGTGGATGAAAATGACTTGTTGATGTCAGAGGTCAGAGGAAGAATGAGCAGACTGGTTGCTGCGACATTCAGATATTAGGGTCAGAATTTGGTGTAAACAACAATGAAAACATGAATCCATCCTGCCTCGTACCAACAGTTCAGGCTGGTGGTGGTGTTGTAATGGTATGGGGGATATTTTCTTAGCTCTAGCAAAGTGTATGATATCTGACTTTGCAGCCTTGTGGCTATACATTTTATTGAGGGGTTCTCCGTTCCCTCTTTTCTTTTCTCCTATGATTATGCAAGATAGCAAGATTTTCTCTACTCCATAAACTGCGCGATCAAGCTTTAGAATCAATAAATGGCACTGGTTGTGCCATTGTGGTTTTGTGTGTGTGACAATAGATCTGTCAGGTCTCTGACAAGTAACACAAGACTGAATGGCAGTTAGTTGTTGAGCATCCATGACTGGTCACCAGCATTCATATTCATATTACAAGTTTTAATTTTGATCTATGGTGACTTTCATGGACAGCTCGGGGTTTATATACTAAAGTGATCTATGAACAATAAAGCTATTGAACAAGCTATTGAATTAGATGATTTTGGACAGTTCATGTCTAATCCTGTAGTACGGGATTCAGTCTGTTGTCTAGTTGGTCATTGCAGAATATCTCATAACTGAGTTTGTACTGGGCATGCAAGACAACCTTGTTCTAGTAATTTTCTAGGGAAACAGTTTCTCTTACAGAGAAGGGTGAGCATCTCAATATCTGACACAATGGTTTCACATCTGATGATATGCACAAAGCCCGAAGAGTTGTCACTAGTAGTGAAACATTAGACACTGGTAGAAATGGCAAACCCAGATACTCTTTCTCTTAGGGATGGACTCTGTATAGATAGGACCACATCACAAATTTCTTGGGATATGCACGCCTTGCTGCCCTCAAATGGCCGGGGAAGTCCAAATTACTGAGTGCAGAAAAACAAACAGAGGGCGCACTGGCCTAGTGCATTACCTTAAAAAATGTATTTATTAAATAAAAAAAAGTAGGTATTGTACTCACAAAATGACAATACAGTCAAAGGCACATAGTGAAAGAACAGCTCTGTCCAATCCGCAATACGTGTCTGTCCGTAATGGGAACCCTGGACCTCCAACAGCCTGAAGCGTTTTGAGGACTTGCAAACTCTTCCTCAGAGCAACTGTTGGAGGTCCAGAGTTCCCATTACGGACAGACACGTAGTGTGGATTGGACAGAGCTTTTTCTTTTTCCTTTGACTGTATTGTCATTTTGTGAGTACAATACCTACTTTTTTAATTTAATAAATACATTTTTTTAAGGTAATGCACTAGGCCGGAGCGCCCTCTGTTTGTTTTTCTCCACTCATTAGGCGGGCAGCACAGTGGCTAAGTGGTTAGCACTTCCGCCTGGCAGTACTAGGGTCACTGGTTCAAATCCCAACCACAGCAGCACCTGCCTGGAGTTTGCATGTTCTCCCTGTACCTGCATGGGCTTCCTCCGGGTACTCCGGTTTCCTCCCACACTCCAAAGACATGCTGGTAGGTTAAATGGCTCCTGTCTAAATTGGCCCCAGTATGTGTATGTATGGATGTGAGTTAAGGACCTTAGATTGTACACTCCTTGAGGGTTAGGGACTGATGTGAATGTACAATATATATGTAAAGCGCTGTGTAAAATTGATGGCACTATATAAGTACCTGTAATAAATAAATAAATTAGCCACTGGTAGCCTTGGGACAACAGGAAGTGTTGTGATAAGATAATCCCCAATTTGGAGAACTAGAGCAGCAAAAAAGAACACTGTCCAGTATAGTGGTTCCTCTGCAATGTAGAATTCGGCTTGCATACTTTCTAATTGAAATGTTGTAGTCATTAGCAGGCAAGCAAGCATGGGCATAGGGTTTCTAAAGTTGGCCATACATGGATTGAAGTACAGCCAGTACAGCAGGGACCAGCCAGATTTTAATGCATTTATGGGCTAGCTGGCTGCACACGAGTACAATGTATTGATCAACACATGTACAACCAGCCTGTTGAGAAAGGCATTGATGCCAGAGTGCTTAAAGGAGCCATGCTGTTTAATATGCTAGAGCAGTGGTTCTCAACCTTCCTAATGCCGCGACCCTTTAATACAGTTCCTCATGTTGTGGTGACCCCCAACCATAAAATTATTTTCGTTGCTACTTCATAACTGTAATTTTGCTACTATTATGAATCGTAATGTAAATATCTGATATGCAGGATGTATTTTCATGATTTTACATTTACCCAGTAATTATAATTCTTGAAGTGTCGTTTTACCTCCAATGCTTCTGCTTTCAACACAGTAGCTGCTTTTAACAGAGTAGCTGCTTTCAACACAGCAGCTGCTTTCAACACAGCAGCAGCTCTTTACACGTGTGACTGGTCCACACAGGGCCGGACTGACAACTCACGGGGCCCCCGGGCAATAGGGGATCATGGGGCCCCTGTGTCCTCACCCACACTCAAACCACACCCAAAAAAGCCTATGAAAGGTACCAGGGGCATCTCATGGGGCCCCCTACTGACCCCGGCCCTCTGGCAGTGCCCGAGTTTCCAAATGGTCAGTCCGCCCCTGGGTCCACATAAGTACATTATGGCGCCAACCCTGTCACATACACCTGTATTTGTATGGGCTGTTTGTGATGGGGTTGGCGCGATGATGTCATCACGCCGGGTACTTGTATGTGGGTGTATCTGCATGTGGGTGGACCTGCCTGGAGACAGATAGAGTAGCAGTGTCTCGATTCCTAAGACCATCGGAAATATGTGTTTTCCAATGGTCTTAGGTGACCCCTGTGAAAGGGTCATGCGACCCCCAAAGGGGTCGCGACCCACAGGTTGAGAACCGCTGTGCTAGAGCCTCAGGGCTTCCTCACATTGTGTGCCATCAAGGCAATTAATAGCAGGACCCCAATCACATGGGGAGGAGGTTTCTGGGCAGGGCATAGCTGATGGCAGTATGGGAGTAAAAAACATTGCGCATGGCAATAAATGCACAATAGGGAAATTTATTTATTTATTTTTTTGTATGGATGCAGCAAATTTAGTTATAAGGAGTCAAAGAATGAAAATATTTTTATGAACTGTCCTAAGAAAAAAAAAATTGAAGAAACATTTGGCAACCCTTTAGTGTTGAGATAAACAGGCAAAGTAGCTTAGCCAGGAAAATGATCATATGCGATTGCACTGTATACACTAGTCCTGAAAAGATCATAGAATACAGATGTTCCCATCATACAAGAGACTTTTGGGAATAGCAGTTCTATATGCTAATTTAAAATTATGGTAGGGATGTCAGATCTATACTTGCTCCCTTGTGTTTTCTTCCTACTGCTCCTCTGTCCCCATGGGAGGAAGACGCCACAAGCAAGTGTGAGCATTTCAACATTATCCAGATTTCTCTTGAGCTGAATATTTTTAGGTCATAACATACTTGAGGCATAATACACTATAAAAGTTTATGCATAATAATACTCTTAGCCACTAGTTCTCATCCAGTGGTTTATGTACCCTAGGGGGTACTTATAATGGGGACTTAGGATTTACTTAGGATTTACTTCTGCTTCTTACAACAAATTCTTCATGAAAGTTAGAGCCAATTCTGGGAAACTTGAAAATTCTCCCTTGCAGTGGGGCTGTTTCCTCACTGCAAGGGTCATCTACTCATTTAGTCTAGGGCAATGGTCTCCAAACCGTGGCCCAGGTGCCAGAGGCCGGCCCTTTGCTTGCTTTTATCAGGCCCTTGGGCCACTTTTCGCCCCACTGTCAGCAACAATGGAGCATAGTTCCTGACCTTGACACCTACAATGGGGGCATTATTTCTCTCACTGACACCAAGGATGGGGCATTATTCTTCTCACTAACACCAACATTGGGGCACTATTCCTCCCCCCATACCAAAAAGAGGACACGGTTTACTCCTACTGATACCAAGAGATTTTCTACTCCCGCTGGTCACAGTCTGGCCCTAAATTAAAAAAAATGATTTTTTTTTTTACTATTTTGGGGCAGTTTTCCTTTGATAATAAAAAAAATTAGGAGCTATCCATTATCATTTACCGCCAAATGAAAGCCCAATTTGTCCTGAAAAAAACAAGGTATAATCCACCTGGATGTACAAAGTAGTTGTGATATGTGCGGTTTTACTAACACGTCAACGTTGCAGAATTGTGCTTAGGCATTTAGATTTGTTTTACCCTTAGGCATGAAGGGGTTAATAGCATTTTATCCTTTAAAATCAGCATTTGCTCACTACGTCCAATATGGCCGCTCTGCAACTTCCGGTCTACGTCTGACGTCACGTCCTTGACCTGTGCGTTGTCGGTGCGGGGGAACACACTGAATGAATACATTAAACAGCAGCCCGGAATTTGGCTTTAACCTCCCTGGCGGTATTCCCGAGTGTAGCTCGGGGTAGAGTTTCAGTACCAAAAGCGGTACCCCGAGCTACACTCGGGCTTACCATGCAGCGTTGCACAGGGATTCCCTGCAGCACTTACCTTGTCCTTCGCTGACGCGATGCGTCCCCTGCAGCATCCCCGGCCATCTCCTCCGGCGATGCCGGCATCTTGTTTCCATGTTTTGGTCCCTGTGACGTTGGGACGTACGGGCGCCGGAACCAGCGACAAATTTGAAAATGTAAAAAAATGACATTTTTTTTAAAACGATTATTTCATAGCAAAACATTCCTGTATCAAAGCATTTCACATACATTTTGTCCCTACTGCTTTGTCCTGTGCCCTGCCTGCATTTTGACTGTTCTTTCTGCCTGGAAACTTAGAAAAGTCCACGGTGTCCAAAAAAATGTCCCGTTAGGTCAAAATCGGTTTTAGACCGGCTAGAGAACAGCGATAGTAAATCAGAACCACTTGCAGAATTGAGTGATAATGATTCATGAGGGAAATTCGTCATCAGACACTGAAAACGATTTTGCGACTTTGCTCAGCGATGTGCGAACTTGGCGCTATATTTCAAATTTCAGTGTTTTTGATATGATTATATTATTGAATTAAATGTAATATTATTATATTATTATTTTTTATGATTATTTATTAAATTATAATTTATGATTTCGTGTTTCAAATTTTATCATATCCGGAATGTTTACTAGACTCCTGTTCGGACAGATTCCAGTGAGTTATTCCTAAAAATTACAGCCTACAATAAAAAAACTACATATTTCCATGCAGAATAATGGTACCGCTTTCAGCACCAAAAATCTGAAATAATCAGACCGCTAGGGAGGTTAAGCAGATGCCGTGATACTGGACACTGGACACGAATTGAACTCAATTGTTTCCACACCACAAATACAACTTAGATGTCCAGAAATCTAATTCTGATATATATGTCTAACCATGATATAATTCTCAAAAAAAATATTTTAAATACTAACTAAAATGCAGGCAAGAAAAAAAAACAAGAAAAACATTGATAAAGAAAATTATTAAAATAGCTTTAAATCATTGTTTTCCCCATCATACTGCTCTCACTTAAATTAATTTTCATCACTGTATGGGCATTGTGAAGTTTGAATATAAGTAAATTTCTTGCGGGCAGTGTGTAGGATTCTATCGCTTCAGGTTTTGTTTTCTAGGGCAAGTCTTGCATTACAGTTGCTGGCACCCATTCAAAGTGTGCCCAAAATAAGTTCTATGTGGGAGGAAAGGACAAAGGAATTTTATGGAAAGAGGAAAATAGGCACTTTCTAAACACTCAGAATGACTTCATAATAGTACTTTCTATACACTCAGAATGACTGCAGAATAATCACGGGAATTATAATTCATCACAGTGTATTCATTAATTACAAGGAGCCTTCTACTAATGAAGTCCCACACTCCCTAATTCTTGTACTCTGGTTCCAATCGTTAAGCTTTGTAGTACAATCCCAGTGTGAATGAGCGAAGACATTTTCTTTTCTAGTTAAAAACTATTTCTTAAGTGCAAGTTTGCCTTTTAATCCATTTATTTCAAATACTTAACTAGCTTGAAATATTTATACATCTATAATTATCTTTATTTTATTGACAATCAGCGACAAACCCGTACATCGCTAGACTTCAAGTGTTTATTCCGGGACGATGCCTGCAGCTGTAGGCATTGTCATTTATTGTGTTTTTTTCAGTCCGCGGGCTCTTTCTTGTAAAAGCAATCCTAGATGCTAATTAGTCGCTTTACTGCTTTTACAAGTAACAGGAGGGGATGTCTCCCACCTCCCGCAGCCTTCCGTCGTTCTCTCGGGATGTCCCGTTCCACCGGCTGACCATAGAGGTGATTGGAGATTGGAATGGCTCTGATGATAACTATGGTATAGGAAACGGGAAGCAATGGAGCAGTTCATCACTTCCGGTTTTGCATTTGTAAACAAACACTTAGGGATTTGAAAAAAAAAAACATTGGATCATACAGGTCATACTGAAGCTTTTGCTTTTAAGGAGAACTAATAGACCACACATTTCTCACTAAAGAGTGTCAGTGCCTTTTGCTGTCACAGGGGATATTTATATTCCCTGTGATAACAATAAAAGTGATTAAAAAAAATTAAAGCGACAGTGTAAAAATAACATTTACAGTGGGGCAAAAAAGTATTTAGTCAGCCACCAATTGTGCAAGTTCTCCCACTTAAAAAGATGAGAGAGGCCTGTAATTGGCATCATAGGTAGACCTCAACTATGAGAGACAAAATGAGAAAAAAATCCAGACAATCACATTGGCTGATTTGGAAAGAATGTATTTGCAAATTATGGTGGAAAATAAGTATTTGGTCACCTACAAACAAGCAAGATTTCTGGCTCTCACAGGCCTGTACCTTCTTCTTTAAGAGGCTCCTCTGTCCTGCACTCATTACCTGTATCAATGGCACCTGTTTGAACTTGTTATCAGTATAAAAGACACCTGTCCACAACCTCAAACAGTCACACTCCAAACTCCACTATGGTGAAGACCAAAGAGCTGTCGCAGGACACCAGAAACAAAATTGTAGACCTGCACCAGGCGGGGAAGACTGAATCTGCAATAGGCAAGCAGCTTGGTGTGAACAAATCAACTGTAGGAGCAATAATTAGAAAATGGAAGACATACAAGACCACTGATAATCTCCCTCGATCTGGGGCTCCACACAAGATCTCACCCCGTGGGGTGAAAATGATCACAAGAACGGTGAGCTAAAATCCCAGGACCACACGGGGGGACCTAGTGAATGACCTGCAGAGAGCTGGGACCAACGTAACAAAGGCTACCATCAGTAACACACTAATAAAAAATAATAATATAAAAAAAAATAAAAATGTAAAACATTTTTTTGAAAAATTATAATTTTTGGTTATAAACTAATTTGGGTTATTTCTTTTTACTAAACAGATAGATGAATACATTTTGACCAAGATCTATGAAGAAAAATGATTTATTTGCAACATTTTATAAGAAAAACACCTTTTTTTTCAAGATTTTTGGACTTTTTCATTTATATAGAAAAAAATTTAAATCCCAGTGGTGAATAAATATCACCAAAAAAAAAAAAAAAAAAAAAAAATCATATGGGTACAGTGTTACATGACAGCACAATTGTCATTCAAAGTGTGATCTGAAAAAAGCTTGGCCTGGACTGGAAATTAAAAATAGTATAAAAAAAAAAACAAAAACAAATACTGCGTGACATACAAAACTGCAACACCCACCATTTTATTCTCTAGGATTCTGCTTTAAAAATATA